GCACGTCACGCACGCTGGCTTTTGAACAAGTTCCAAGCCACGAAGGGTGTAACAAGTCACGAACTGGTCCACGGCAAGACCTACAGTGGACCTTTGGTACCGTTTGGATGCCCAGTGTATGCCTTTGTGAAGCCTCAATCTGGCAAAGGGGACCCTCGATGGCGGATGACCCTTTTCCTCGGCAAGACAGAAGGTCAAGACTGATGGATTGTTGGAGATGGTAGCCAAGTCATGTTAACAAGGTCTGTGAGAAGGGTGGAGCGTCCATGGAAGAACTTTGGTGCATACTATCAGAACTTTGCCACCTTCACCTACGAGTATCAAATCAACTTTGGTGGACGCATTGTTCCAAGCAAGCGAGCAGCAAGCGCAGTCCCTTTGCAACTTGGCCCAGTACCTCCTCGAGATGAGATCCTGTTTAGGTACCGAGATGAAGAGGCCGAGGAGGTGGAGCGCTATGCATTGTCAAAGGAAGGCCAGGAGGAAAGTCAACGAGAGATTGATGAGGCCCGTGAACCCGATGGAGGAGCAATGATTGCAGAAGCTGGAGCGCCAGCACCATCAGCCCCGCAAAGAGAAGAGCCCAGTGGAGGATTGCGTACACCCCCAGCTCTTGGAAATCAATCTGGGGAAAGGGGCACAGGAGGAGAAGTTCCTATGGTCATTGAACCGCTTCCTTGGGATGAGGACGAACTACCTCCTGAAGGGCGAGTTCTGAAGAAACTCCCACCACCAGAGTCTGCAGTCATGGTTGAACCAGAAGCAAAGCGGGCTACGACAGAGAGGCCACCAGAAGGAGGAGCAAGCTCATCACAACATCAACAGCTTGTGGAGCGAAGGGTTGAGAAAGTCTGCATTGGGGGAGACACCATGTACCACCTCGACGAGATTGTGGATGTTGAGGAAGGCGAAGAAGAGGTGGAGAACCTGGGACCTGGTTCTATGCCTGAAGAGCTACGGAGTGATGCTCCCCTGACGAGAACTCCTGCAGATCCCGATTGGGAGGTTGACCTCCTGGCGAACAAAGTGGAGGAACAAAGGCTAATGAGGATGAATGTCATGGAGAAGCTCACTCCAGAAGATGCCCACTTGGACAAGCTCACCACTCGCTTTGTCCACGACTGGAGGATAAAGCCCTACGTTCAGCCTGATGGGAAGACGAGGAAGCGCTGGCTGAGGAGAGCGAGGTTGGTAGCAAGAGAGTACGCCAATGATCGATGTGATGAAGTATACAGCCCAGCTTCAGGACAGCATTCCCTTCGGCTTCTCCCGGCATTGTTTCTGAACAACATAGCTGCGAGTCAGGGAATCTATGGAGAGCAAGGAGCGCCAGTATTGGGTGCACTGGACATCAAAGATGCATTTCTGCAAGTCCCAGAGGAGCGACCTCTCCAGATCACGACCAACACTGGCTACTACAAGGTCCTGAAGAACATCCCAGGTCAGAGGATTGGAGCAAAAGCATGGTATGAGTTCCTGAGAACCTACCTCGAGAAGGAGCTCCGCTTCACCTTCGATGTGGTGAACCCGTGTTTGGGAAAGAAGGACACGGACAGTGAGCTGATTTGCGTGCTGGTGCACGTCGATGATGTGATGTTCACCGGGAGGCAGAAGTCTATTGGTGCAATGCCAGGAATGGAGATGGAAGTCGTGTGGGCGAGCAGGAGCATCAGGACTTCGAGAAGAGCCACATCGAGAAGGGGAAGATCATGAAGGTAGCAAAATATCTCAACAGGATCATCCTCCTGAGCGGTCTTGAGCTGGCCACGGGTTCTAAGGTGTAGGAGAGCTATGTGGAGATCGGCTAGGTTGATCGCCCTGACCATCTTCGGCCTTTTGATGTTTGCCATCGTGATCCTATGGAGCAGGGTCCAAAGCTTGGAGAAACGAATTGCCTTCCTACAACACCGGGTTGAAAGAGGTGAACAAGTTCATCGAGAAGCCATTGAACAGCAGGACAAGGAGAACTCAATGACTGCAGATTACGTCGAACGAGTACACCGAGGACTGATCAAGTCTGGAGGGCATGTTGAAGACCCATCAGTGCAGCGAGTTGAATGGCAGAGCTTGGACTACATCCAGGAGATCAACAAGTGGCACGATGGCTTAAAGCTGAGAAAGAGGTGGAGAAAGATGGAATTGATTCAAGGAGAAAGAGGAGAACAACTTCCTGGAGCAGGCATAGTCAACATCGACCGACCCTGGAGAGCCTGGGTTGAGTGGGGAAACAGCTGTCATCATCTTGGACGGCGGCCGGATCGTGCAAGTTCCAGTGGAGTATGTTGAACCTGCAGCCGATGGTGGCCAGATCGAGGACACGTCAATGGTGGAGCCAGAGCCTACACCTGGAGAAGATGGAGTACCAGATCATGAGATGGAAAGTGCGCGAAAGCGCACCCGAGGTAGTGGATGCTCTCTGGGAACCAGAAAGCATCAAAATTCCAGATGGCCAGTATGCCCATTTCAACCGGGCATACAATCGAGCCGATTTGATCGCACGTGAAGAGCTTCTCAAGATGGAAGCCAACTGGTTTCACGGTCACAGAAACGGTGATCGAAATTTAATGAATGAGATGAGCGATTTGATGAAGGGGTCAGTACACCACGTACACAACTTTTACCCCTAGTTTGTTGGCTTGAAGCCACGGCTCACCAAGCCAAAGGAGGAATACAAATCATTATGGAAAGCACTCATGCACAGCATAGCATACATCCAGTGATCATCTAAGATGACACGCACAAATCAAGAAGCTTGTACATGAGACCGCAAGTTTGCCCGAGCTAGAAAAGCTTCGCACATTCTCATCCTCACCCTCACCCTCATCTCTCTCTCTATCTCTCTCTCTCTCTCTGGGCCTCTTTGGCTTTGTTAGCTAGTAATTTGGAGGCGATCTTTTTCTTCAATATTTTTTCGTTTTGTTAGTTTTGTCTCTTCAAGTGTTCGGTTGCCCAGTGTTTACTTTTGACATTGCGCGCTGTCCTTTTCGCCTTTGCCTTCGTCAATTTGTGTCTTTCCTCTCTCTTCGTTTTGCCTTGAATATATATTGTGTTCTTCCCTCGTCTCAGAACTTCTATTGCCTTGTGCCCAAAGGAAGCGTATGTGGGAACACTCTGCTGTGAATTTGGAGTCTCAGCATAGAATCTCCGGAGGCACATGTGTTCCTCTCTTTACAGGGACCACAATCGTCGGATACCAAGTTTGATCAACTCGGCGTGCCTGCGCAGGAAATTCCGAAAGTTCTAGTCATTCTCCACTCACAGAGGTCAGGCTGGTGCAGGATGATTCAGGTCCTCACTGATGGCCTCCAACCTGGTAGCTTCTTGCTACTAGTAGAAATACCCTTGTTGCTGCATGTTGCTACTAGCGATGGCGATTCTGTTGAGTGCGCTCATTTCGATGAGAAATCAAAACGTATCGTCGGACTTTTGAGCCGGCCACGCACCGCTGCAGTTGTATCGTCGTTTCCATGCCCTTTGTTACTACTAGCGTCCCTATTACTACTAGTAAGGCACTTGTTACTAGTAGCGATGCACTTGTTACTAGTAGCGAAGACTGTTGTATAGAGGTTGCGAATGCATTTGGTTCTTTGGTTTTCGTTTCGTGTTGCGTTGCTCTCATACTTTCCACCAATCCGTCCAATCTGAACGACTTCCACTCAAATCCAAACGCCTGTTCTGATCATGTTTCGACAAGACGCCAGTTGGTGCATTCCAACTGGTGGTCGCTCACCAACACCTCATCCTGTGGATGCTCAAAAGCATCACAGAGTCCATGAAGGGTGCAACACAACATCTTCTTTCCATGTCCACAGAGTCCATGTTGGGCGGTGTCGGCTCAATGGAAGTTTTTTAAGTCTTGTTTTCATGAAACGGGCTGCAAGACCCGACCAGCCACGGCAAGTTGCCCGCCGCGGCAAACTTCTAGCTTGGAGAAGCAGCTACGAGCTACGACCGCTGAAAGTCCAAAAAGTCTCCATCGATTGTCTATGCGACACTCTTCGAGAAATTTCACCTGCATACAGTGGTTTGTTTCTTCAGAAATCAAATCCCTACAAGCAAAGGGTGGCTTTCATCCTCCCTTAAGGCCATCTCTATGTCATGCGTTGCAGTGCGTAGCAAAACAAAAGAAACATGTTTTTTGCGGATCCTGCCGTGCAGTGTGCGGTGTGCCGTGCGGCGCCGTGCTGTGAGAAAAAAAAGTTTGTTACTACTAGCTTCTTGTTACTACTAGTAAGGCACCTGTTACTAGTAGCGATGCACTTGTTCCTAGTAGCTTATATATATATATATGTTTTTGCTGTGATTATATGAAGTTTCTTTGCAAAAAGGAGTAAGCGCCGCAAGGGTCACAAAAGAATTCCTTCAAAAAGTCATTTGCTTCTGTGCAGGTTTTAACATGTTCGGCAAAACAGAATAATGTTCACATCGCAACAATAACCCCCCTAGTGGAAAATTGGCGGCCAAAATAAGTGTTTGCCGCAAAAATTAATGTACTCGCAATATTTAACCTCGGACCTTATAAGACAGTTACAATTGAAAGGAAATTTTTTTGTTGACAGTAGTTTATTGTAATTGTATGGCATTGGCATTCGAAAGGGGTGCTCTTTGATAAGACGTGTTTAAATCTGTTCAAAGGGTGTAGTGCAGAATTTGTTTGTTTGCGATTGGCTATATAGAAGAGCTGAATTAGCTTGTTGTAACAAGTGCCACGCTAGTAGTAACAGGTGCCTTACTAGTAGTAACAAGAAGCTATTAGAAACAAGTGCATCGCTACTAGTAACAAGTGCCTAAAGAGTTGAATATTAATTGCCCGCTCCGACACTGCCACTATCGGGCAAGTGCACAAAGAGCACCAAGAAGCAAGAGCCGGCCGGGTCGCGCATGGTTCCTCTCGGTTTGCCCCAGCTCACCAAAGAACCCTTTCCCCATCAACTCCCCAAAATTATTCTCATCAACTCCCCGAAACACCCATTTGATGTGGTTTCGTTTCGTTTGGGCAGGGCTATTATGAAGTACTTGCTCAATTGATGTCATGCGAAGGCGAGGATTGTGGAATGCGAATGTAGCTGTTGTGAGAAGAAAAAAAAATCGTGCCTTTTCAAGATTCCTTTGAGAAGAAAGGTTTCTCTTCTTCCCGTTCCCCCCCCGCAGGGCCGCGGGGTGAGTTTGAAGAGGTGAGCTATCCGTCCATATTTAGCTTAAGTAGCTAGTATCTTACAGCAGCATAGAGCAGCTAGCTAGTCCCTTAGTGGCCTCGTCTCGTCTCCAGGTTTGAGTCTTCGATCTCTTTGGGCCCGGCTGCTGGCGCCGATGACCCGAAGCTCGGCATCCAACCGGTCGTAAGAACCGCTCGCTTCGTCGGTTTCACCATGTTTCACCGCCAGAACCAAGGTCTGCACTTTTTGTCACAGTTGTGTGAAGGAAGCCGAGGCCATCAAGTTCGCTTGCATTTGCTAGATTGGACAGCCCGTTACTAGGTTGGAGGCCATCACGCAAGTTCACTTTCTCGCGTTGCTTCTGGAGGCGTCTTTGGGGGAGCACTGTCATCGATGGTTTTTGCTTCGGGCTTCTCGGGTGACATTGTCGCACAAGACTTGGCAAAGGAAATCCTCCGCTGCTCGGCAATCTTCGGAATTGAAAAAATATTTTCTGTGTTTCCAAACATCGGATTTTTTTCAGGCTCTGTGGTGAAACCCTTGTGGTCCATGATTCGAGCTTGGATGACAGAAGGTGAGTTACAGGACTTTGCTCAGCGACGATGTCTGATGTGTCTCATGTGGACCCTCCGATCCGGAGCTGATCCAGGACCCTTATGGTGAATTTTTTGTCATCGCTGATGCTTCTGTTCCATTGGAAGACTTGTGGAATCGTGTTTCGGCAGCAAGGGCTGAGTGCAAGACCTATCCGGTTGAAGCGTTTCCTCAGACCCAGCAAGTCCTGTTTCAAAACCTGTCTCAGCGGTCCAAATGGACAAGAAATGACAACAAGATTAGGATGTCTTTCGTTTCCACTCTTTTGGGGTGTCCAAGAATGTGCTTAAGACTAAACGACAACAAATAGCCAAGTCTGTCCTCTTGTTCTTTGTTTAGAAAGAAAGGATGTTCTTCCACGCAAGCATGTTTTCTGCCAGGACGTCCAGAACTAGTGGACAAGTCCCAAACGGAATCATAAGGCATTCATCAAAGCCTAGTTGGATTGAGTTCGAACCAGTGCGTAGCAAATGGCAGCAAATACACGATAAACTAATGCATTTGTTGGGTTCTTTTTTCCAAAGATTGATGTTGACAAAGCCCAAAACCAAAATACGAGATTGCACATTTTCTACCAAGACTAGCTTCAACCCAACGCCACGAACCATTGCGCCGGCCATTGGCAGCTGAAAGTAAAAGGAACAAATAAGAAGAGAAATAAAGAATCAGAGTCAGTCCAAAGGAAAAGGAAAAGGACTCAGCAAAAAAACGGAGGTCGCGAGTGCTACAAAATCTGCAGACCTCATGTTGCTCAACAAAGCAGAGGTCCACATAGCCGAGGCTTCTCGTTTGTTGAAAAGCGCGATTATGCCCCGTTTGGGCCAAGGTGCATATTCCTTGGAGTTAGAGATGGTGCCAAGCTTCATTTCTTTGGAGCTTGCTCGGAAGATTCTTCTCACAGGCAGCCTGTCAACCCTGTTTGTCAAACTGCAAGTGTTTCTGCTAACACCACTGGACGCCGTGAAACTGTGTGAAAGTGTGGGAAACTGAATTGCAAGTGAGAAGGTAAGAGCCTTTTTAAACCTTGAAAGGAACTTGTTACTACTAGTACGGCACTTGTTTCTAATAGCTTCTTGTTACTACTAGTAAGGCACTTGTTACTACTAGAAAGGAACCCAAAAGTGTTAAGTTTCCCTAAAAATCGAACCCAAATGAATAGCGAGGAAACTTCTTCAAGGAAGCGTGAGCGATCCTGCGTCCATACTAGCTACTTGTTAGCTACTAGCTACCTCTCCCTACTAGCTACCTAACTAACCTACTAGCGGCCAACCCCCTTAATAAATTAAGAAAGCTACCAACCCTCTGTGTTTTTTGCTACTCAGGAAAGTCTGTGAACTTTATTCGACTTTGCTGTCGCCGGACTTGGTCACCTGAGCCTTTGGGTCGGGCCGCCAGAGAAAGCACCATCCTTGTCAAACCACTTCCGCAAAACGGCCAGGGACCAGCGAGCTTTTGCCAGAAGAGGATGAGAAATCGGAAAAGCGAGCTTTTGAAAAGTGAAAGTGACTAGATCAGTAGCGACCGCCTGGAAGAAACGACGATCAGTAGCGATGCTCTTTGTTCCTAGTAGCGTCTTGTTACTGGTAGCGATGCCCTTGGGTCTAGTAAGGGCGATGGAGAGAAATGGGTGACATCTAGGAGATTGGAGCTTCCTTTGACTTGGCCAGCCGAGCTGCTTGGCAAACGACATGATGTTTTTACAAGAGGCTGTTACCAGCCTTGGAAGAAGCAACCAATTGTGAAGACGAGAAAACGAGCTCCTTTATGGCTACTAGGCTGGAGGCCATCGCTGGTAGGTTGGAGGCCATCGCTGATAGGTTGGAGGCCATCACTAGCTGTCGGCCCAAGCACCTACAGCGGTGCAAGCCAATGGCTTGGGGGGGGCGGTTTTAACCCGGAGCCATGTTTGAGATCGTTGGCTGAAGGCTCTGCACTATCCCTTTCAGGAAGAGCATGGTTCTATGATGCCTCCAAATTGGCATATCACTGCACCACATTGCTGGCTAGCCAGCCTTTCCTGCTTCGCAATTGAAAGGTGAGAGAGTTACCATCCTCTCTGCGACCATGCACATTGAGTCAGATTTGACCATTGTTGATGCTACAGAGGCCTCCGTCATGATCCACAAGCTGATCGATAGTGCAACGGCCATGGAAGTTGTTGACATTTGTGCAGGATACTCCATCATGTCCGCTGGCTATCCATGGATTGGCTGCCAAGTGAGATGCCATGTTGAGATCAATCCACGCTACGCAGCCTGGTTGAAAACTAAGCAGGTCCCGGTCATCGAAGGTGACATCGACAATGTTCAGGTACAAAGGGCGCTCCTACCTTTCGTTGAGACCCGTGCATCATCACAGGTGGCTTTGCCTGCCAACCGTTTTCGACCCTGGGTGATCAGCGACAGCAATTGGATCCCCGCGCAAGGAGCTTCGAAGGGATGATCTCGGTTGGCTACCTGTTCCAGCCCATGGCACTGGTCTTGGAGTGCACGAAGGAAGCCATGACGTCGCAGTGGGTCCAATCGACATTGATGGCCTTCTGCAAGAGCACCGGTTATTCCTTCCAACAACATATATGCCATTTACCAGATTTTTGGCCAGCCAAAAGGACACGTTGGTGTGCGCTGATTGTACACCCACTGGTACAAATGCCACAGCTCAAGACTTTTCCCAAGCTCACCTTCCCGCCAGAGTTTCGCCACTTGTTGCCGAGCATGCCAACCTGGCCCGATGATCAGATCAGGGAGTTAAGCCTTGCACCACACGAGCTCGAGATTTTTGCAGACCAACCGGGAGGTTTGGGCAAGAACTCAGTTTGCCCGACGAAGCCATTGTCCAAGGCCTTGCATGCATGGGGGTCCCAACTGACAGCATAATGTGCATGTGGTTGTAGGTCTGGGGGATTCACCCACCAACGACTGGAAGAGAAAGGGCTCTATGGGGCACTCATCCCGACCTCAGGTAGTACTACCATCCGAGGGCATGCAATCCCGAACATGCGACACATCCACCTAGTGACATGCCCAAGAGACCTACGTTTAGACCTCACAGCACTGGGGCAAATGGCATCACCGGCCCAAGCCCTCTGGCACATCGCGCAGGTTGTACAAGCCTTTGGCCATACCATCGGCATCACCACGCATCATGAACCTTCCCCTCGCGACGTTTGAGTCTAGGGATCGCATGTTGCAACCTTATGGTCATTCCAAAGAGTCCGCACCGTTCCATTTCGGCATTGCATATGAAGCACATGTCCCTGGGGACCCCGCGCCAGAGATAGCTGACAGTCATGCAATGGCCCAGGTCCCTCATGAGTCCTACAAACGAAAGCCCGGGCTGGATGCATCCACAGAGTTTTTTCGATCAGGCCACAGGTGTTGCTGCCAATGGAGGACTCGAGTTTTTCGCCCAACCGAACCCGCGCCCCAAGATCGCCCTCGCCAAAGCCTCAGGCGCCTGTTCATCAAGAAGCCAGCGGTCAGTACCATCCGCCACTCGTGAATGCAAGAGTAAAAGGGAAAGCATGAGTGAAGCCGATCAATTCGTTGCTCATGTGCCGCACCAACCGAGTGACCCCCTTGACCAAGAGGAAAGCAATCCATCCGACCATGACCAACATGCCATGAAGCCGCCTTCGCACTGGAGAGCACTCGCCTTGATCGTAGTGTGGGCCTGAAGCTGAAGCTACTGCCTTCTGACTGCTTTGATGTTGTAGTTTGCCACCCCGATGGAAGCTGCGTCAAAGTCCGAGTCGCCCCAGGCTCCATTGTAGGTCAACTCACACAAGCCGAGGAAGGCCTATGCACGGTCATCCAACCGACGGTAGTTACCTCACTGACAGGTGCTCCGTGCCATTGGGAAGCCTCTTGACACCAGCATGTCATTCACAATGGGGCATGCCACCAAGTCCCTACCCGTGCACAGGTCCATACTGATAGACTACTCCATGTACACCTGCATGGCCAATCACGGTTTCAGGGATTGCTCTTGCAAGGCCCGCTGGTCGCAGTTGATGAAATGAGCTTTTATGCCACGCTAGTCAGAAACCAAGGCCACCAGGTCTCTGACCCGATCAGCATTGATGATAAAAATGACCTAGAGCAAGCCCTCGCCACCTGGGCCCTGCAATGCATGCATGCGCGCGAAGCAGATAGTGCACACAGTCTGTTCTTGGCCCCTGTTTTGTACATGAGTCACTGGAGCCCAGTTGCACTGCATGCGACATCCGCAGAGACCGTCATGACTTTGCCGCATGATCTTGCAACCAGGTTCTCGGGCTTGATTGTCGAAGCTTGTGGATCAAATGAGATAGCCTTTCAGACATTCATGCTTCCGTCCTGAAATGCCGACTGTGGATTCCAAACGCTCAACTGGATCTTCGCGCGAGCCATAGGCACACAGAGTCCAAGCCCAGTCATGCCTACCAATGGAGGGTCCCGTTTGCACTTCAGTTGATGCATTCCAATCAAGTCATGACCCAGGCAACCCGCCTAGGAGGAACCATACCTCATCCAGCAGTTGGGGTCAGAGACCATTGCCAAGATACTAGGGGGGTCCCAACCATGGAAAGATCTCAAGACGGCCGCAACTCAGGCCACCCCACCGATCCGCATTGTCCTGGCCTCAGCACTCGATGGACAAGCCCATGGGGTCGAAAGCCAACAAGCGACCGGCCACTAAAGGAGCAAAGCTGCAGGTCATCCCGAGCGCTGACCAGATCAAGCTGCCAGATGCACTGTTCGTCCAGCAGGATGGGCAAAAGCTGCCGACCATTCCTTTACATAAGGTAGAAGCACATGCACAAAGGGTAGCTCTGTGTAATATCCAGGAGGTGACACACTTCCTCAGTCTCGCTGCACCGATTTCTTTGTTGATTTTGGATCACATGGATGCACACCTTCCTGAGCATGCCGAGCACATCAGGATCCGTGCCATGTCAGCCGCCACTGGCGAACCCATGCTGCTGTCGGTAGCATTGCTCCAGCTAGGTTCGAAGCAAATCCGCAGACATGCGCCGTCAGAACGCTATGCTTTGGATGAAATCCAGACCCGTGTCCTCAAGGTACTGGTCTACAAAGATGAGTGACCCGGCCCTTGGCAAGGGTTCTTGCAGCATCCGGTAAAGGCAATCTTCGACCATGTGCTGATGAAGACACAGGAGTTTCCTCAAACAGAGCATATCCTGGATGTATGGGACCGCCAAACTTTGGATGCTACGCTAGGTCGCAAGTCAGGCCGAGATCTTCGCATTCCTGCTTCGGGTCACTGACCGGTTTGCAGAGCGCATCATGCCGGGGGCAGCAGTCGATGGCATCTACCTCGAACCTCGCACTATGGATGGTCGGAAACCGGCGCCCCAGTTTCATGTCATCTGGATGCCCAAGAAATCACTGGCAGAGGTTCGCCTGGCACGCAGCCAGACGGAAGCAAGAACCACCATTGTCCGCGTGGGACACCGGCTAGGACTACGAGTGGACAGAGCCCGATCTGAGCAAGTCCACCAACAACACCGACCTGATGTGATGTTCTTGGATGGCCAGGAGTTGAAGCCTTACAAAGTTGGACTGTTTCCATATGGATCGACCAAGACATCGCTCTCTAAAGGTTTCCAACACCTGGGATGGAATGCTCGACCTGTCCAGCCGATTTCACAGCTGCAAGTGCCGGAGGGAATTTTCTGGCAAGTCATGGCACCCCAAGAGCCTTCACACTGGATCTATCAGCTTAAGCGTGGAGACATCCTGATCGCCAAGCTCGAAGAAAATAAGGATACACCTATGCCTCGTGCCAAGCACATCATAGCCTCAAAGAAGACCATTTCCACGTTGACCCAGCGGCCGAACGCAGGGCCTGTCGATCCGTGGCTTGCACATGATCCTTGGCAGGCAGCCAGCGCCAGCAAGAAAGTTCCACCTACGGTCACCGCACCGACAGTGACCCCAGGCCAGCTGGCCGCGCTGGAACACAGGTTGGAAAAGAAGATCCAAGCCACTGCATCAGAGTCCGCTGAAGACCACATGCAGGTTGAGCAGACGGCTCGCATCGAAGCTCTGGAACAGCAAGTGCATTCGCTGACGCAAAATTTTTCCAGCTTCCAAAACCAACAGGCAAAAGTCAATCATCAGATCGCAAGCCAGTTGCAAGGATTTGAAGGGAGGATTGACGCCAAATTGGAAGATCAGATGCAGCGCATCGAATCCCTTCTAGCCAAAAAGATGCGCCATGAGTGACTATGGATCACTCGTTCGTTCGGGGTTTATCCAGCTGCAGTGCCACGGTGGCATTCGAAGCAAGGTCACCATAGACCACTGCCTAATTCGTACATCCTAGTTGATCGCGGTGCGCACATCCGCGCAACTCAGCAGATCCGCCATAGCGATCTGCCCACTTCACGGGGTCGGCTCAGCAATCCGTCCAGACGCAGGACATCTCAGTGCCAAGCCAAAAGGTCGCTTTTTCGTCTTGTGTGCGTTTTGACCGCTGTTTTCAGGTTTGGAGAGGCCCTTCATCCGGGCCCACCACATGAAGGTTTTGTACTTGGCATTTTGACCCCCACTGGATTGTTGCATAAAGCCGAGCAAATCAATCAGCTTCCCCAAGGGACGCTAGGCACCGTTTAGGTGATCTCGGAAACCCACCTCACAACCGGAGGGGCGGCACAGTTTCGAAAGTCACTTCGATGTAATCATAGTCCTTTTAAGTTGTTGCATGGAGATTTTGTTCCACCAAAGTCAGCCGCGCAATCATACTTGGCCGTTCGAGGCAAAGAAAGGGGAGTCGGATTCCTAACTAGCACCCCTCGACGTAACCTCATGCACTCGTGGCCCCTCGAGGTCACTAACCAGCAACGCTGCCACGCAGCAGGTTTCCAGCGGGCAAGAGTGGATGCAAGGGGGTGCCCTTTACGGAAATGCCTTCCAAAGCACTGGAGCCCAGACTCGTGATAGCAACAATCATTTGCTCGCCCACCTGGTCGACCGCTTATTTGGCGGAGCCAAAGGGTATCCCGCAGCTCACACCATTGGTCCAAGAGGTCCATGTTGAAGCGGATCGTTTTGCAAACGATGCTATTGTGTGCACAGTACTTCACACAAAGGCCCCCGAAATGCGGATTCCCATCGAAGTACCCACGACAAGTGGAATGGCCAAGCCCCAGAGAGGCCACCCCCTTTCGTAGACCTGCAGATCCAGTCTCTACATTCCCCCGTCTCTCGGGACCCTCAACGACTAGCCAACCGAAGGTACCAGTCAATTTGATCACCCTTTGAAACCCAGATGGTGCATCAAGCAAAGGAGGGACGGAACATCCATGGGTCCCAGACAGGCCGAGGCTCAGTGGCGCAACGTACATGGATTAAAGAGCATTTTGCGCCGCCCCGACCGTCTCGACCAAGCAGTTTCACCCCTTCGTACCATGGACAACATACCGTCCATGTGCACTGGGTCAAGCAGCTCAGGCGGTTACAGTCAGTTCCACAAATGTATAACACCCAGAAAGCCAACACCAGCCACTGGATAGAGAGGCGGTTAGGCCAATGGTGGGCTATCACCTCGGCCGCGGGCTTTCGCTTCCTTTGTGCAATGGTGGACACAGAAATCCAAGCACGTCCTGGGCTTGCCAGATCAATGGCCACAGTCGCCGCCTGATAGTACAGTGGCCAGTTTGATAGCGCAGGACTTCCAAGTTGACTTGCACCATCTGGAACAGATGTTATACTCAAGGCACGCATAGTGCGAGCCAAGCAGGTTCGACGAGACGATCCCCAACAAATGTTTCGTGACCTCCAGGCACCAAGGCCTGAACCGGCGCAAATGCTTTTGGCCCAATCGACAGCCACCATTGAAGAGGTAGATGATGAGGAGTGTGCTGTAGCGCTTGATCCAGCAAACGCTTTTGACCCAGGCCAAGCCATTGAACATAATGGTATCCCCTTAGTCATCACCCACCATGACACAGACAAAGTGTGGCTTGCGCGAACGCAGGCGACACGCTGACACAGTCGAGCCCGGTCACTGCCAGTGCTGACATCCATCAATCCTTTCAGAATGAATGGATGACCCGATGGGATAGACACGCACAGACGCAAGATTCCCACTGGGAACCCATCGTAGTCTTTGTGCAACTTGCTTTTCCGAACCCGCCGGCCACGCAGTACAGACCTCTCACATTTGACGCTTGGCAACAGGCCGTTCGTAATAAGAAGCAAAATGCAGCTATAGGTCCAGATGGGGTCTCCAAAGCCGACTTGTTAGCCTTGGCACGTAATCATGTGGAACCCATCCTAGCCCGGCTCCACATGTGAAACAAGGACATGCACAATGGCCCACCCAAGTGATCACAGGCCATGTCCATGCACTCGAAAAGTTGCCAGGAGCATGGAAGGCAAGTCAAGGAAACCTTGGCATATCTCAGCAGATTCGCGCCAGACCAAGTCACCGGCAACATACTCGGGAAGGCACGCACAGACTTGTGGTTGAGCATGCAGCTCCAGCTGGAAGAAGCCCACGCCGACCAAACCCTGATGGCCGGGTTGTGGCAGACGTTGTTAAGGCGCGCAACCTGCTGCCCAGAATGCCACTCCTGGCCATAGGATTATACCTAGGCATCCCCCACCCGATCATCCGGGCTTGGACAAGTGCTTTGACGCAGCTCAGCCGAGCATTCTGTGTAAGAGGGACAATAGGCCCCCCGTTAACATCCTCCACGGGTTTTGCCGAAGGTTGTGGTTTGAGCTGTAGTGCCATGCTTCTGTGCAATATCACACTGGCCAAATGCCTCGGCATTCGGTACCCGTCTGTTCGGTTATGGTCATATGTTGATAACCTTGCTGAGCTTTGGTCAAACCGTGCGGACGATAGAGCACTGGCCAGACAGCAGGCAACTCCACTGCAGTCCTCGACACGGGACTTAGGAGCGCACATGGAGTATGGCCGCAAGAACACGAACCATGTCCTTCGGAACCGGCTGGCAAGCATGCCACGAGTTTGGATAGCTCTAGCTAAGTCTCCAGCACCTTATCGCCAAAAGGTACATGCCTTGCGGACTAAAGGTTGGCCACAGGCCTTAGCAGCCGGCAGCCCAGCTCCACTTGGAGATGCCCACATTCGCACGTTGCGCGCAGGAGCATGCCGGCGGATTCGGGCACACGCGCAAGGCATCGGCCCTATGGCCCATTTGTCCCTCATAGAGCATCCCCTCACGGACCCTGGTTGTCACCTGCTGGTCCACGCAGTGCAGAATGTTCGTAGGTACGCCAATCATGACCAGGTCCACAACATCATTGAACGCATTCTCCTACACTGGCACGAGCTTCCAACACGCCGTGGACCATGCCATGTCTTGTTAGACCGATTGCGTTCGATAGGCTGGAAATGGCTAGGCCATGGCCGGCTAGTAGACCATGAAGGCAGCCCCGTCGACATGTTCCATGGGTCTCTGACGGAACTCCGTGACCGTCTCACGCAGGGATGGCAGAACTTCGTGAAGCAAAGTGTTAGCCGTAGAAAAACATTTCAGGGCATGAACGTTCACCATGGAAAAAGCCCACACCTGGTCGACGCATAAGCCGGGTCTCCTTCAAAAGGCCCTGAATGGAACTTTTTTCACAGCAGATACCCAGCTGCATAAAACCCTGACCTGTAAGTTTTGTGGTAATCAAGATTCCCAGCGCCACAGATTTTGGGACTGTGAGTACTTCAAACATGCACGCCCGCTCCTGTGGCTTGTGCAACAGGTCCGACATGGTGGGCTCCCAAAATGCGTCGCCTACCATGGGTGGATGGGCCTCCCGCCATCGGCGCATGCGCTCCATCAAGCTCTGCGAGTAATCCCATCCCATTCACCCCTCGTGACTTGTTTGTAGATGGCTCTTGCCTCAATCCGACATCTCCACACACACACCTTGGAGGTTGGGGGGTGGTTGCCCTTCGAGTTGGTGGCCACTGGCCCAAGGCCTGGTCCGCAGCAGAAAGCAAACCAGCGTTAGGGCAGAGATCTTGGCAGCCACCAGCGCACTTCGATTCGCCGTTCGACTTGGTCACCAGACCAGAATCTGGAGCGATAACGCCCAAGAGGTGAGAACCTTGCGCGCGGCCCTATCGGAGCCTGACGCCATTCGTCCAAGCCAAACGGACCACGACCTTTGGAGCATCCTCATGACCGTGGCCCGCCTTGTCCAGGCAGGACAAGTAACAGTGCACAAAGTTGCTAGCCACCAGTGCAAAACCGGCCAGGATTGGGTTGAATGGTGGGCCTTCACAGGCAATGATCAATCAGATCATTGTGCGCAATGGAGTACACGAGCCACCCAAGATCTTGTGACCAAATGGCAACAGGCCGTCGCCGGCCTTGATGCGGCCAGAGTGCTCCGCAACCAGATACATCTGACAATCGCGCAGGTCAGTGAAGCAGCCCTCATTCGAGACAGCCGCTGGCCCCCATGGTTCCTCTTCCAGTTCGGCCCCAAACGGCCACACATAAGCTTGTTGGGAACGGGTGGGAGCGTCTGACGGAATGGAGCAACAGTCTGATCGATGAGACTGCAGATGCTTTGTTCGTCCCATGGTTGTATCTGTACCTTGATTTTGTGCTGCGCACCAACTGTGGGGGAGTTCAGCCCACCCGGGCCTATAAGATTTGGAGCTGGCTTTCTCGACCCGAAGCCAACCAGCATGCAGTGGTGGAGAGGGTCAAATGGTTTCGTCTCTTGCTGCTGCGTGTCTACAAGCTTGAGAATAAGATGTTGACTTCCCAGTATGCCAGGCCATCGTCGCTTGTTGTCCGCATCTGGGCTCACTGCGTCTGCCTCCGCTTCAACCCAGCACGTTTCAAAGCGGTGGAAACCTACTTGCAATCATTCAAAGCGGCGTTCCTGCTCGGCAAGGACATCGAGAGTGTAGCGACTTAGGTCGTAGTTCGGTAGTGGGTCACCTCCGCGAAAGCTGCGGCGCCTTCGTCTTACGGAGAAACGGAGAAATGGAGGCCATCGCTGATAGGTTGGAGGCCATCGCTGATGGAGGGCATCGCTACTAGGGCGGAGGCCATCGCTAGTAGGTTGGAAGCCATTAGGAGCCATGTTTTTACGATTCCTTTCTCTTATAGGCCTTTTTTGGACGCTTTGTGAAGAGAAAACGAGTTTCTTTGATGCGAAGGCTTTTCCACTGAGTGTTTTTGAGTTGCGAGTGGCTGCGAGCGGCGAGCGGCTGCGAGGTTGAGCGCTTGTCCTCTAAGACCAACGAACACCTGGTGAAGCTCCTGATGAATCACTTCAGCCTCGGTCACTTGAAAAAAGGACACGTGAAAACCATCACCAGCGGCCCAAAAATCACATTGTTGAGTCAACAATACACTTTCATATTGAGATGTCAGAACGAAATTTGTGCGATTCACTCTACAAGAACTACTCGCAACAAGACTTGCTGCCCTCGCTGCCAATAAGCAATGCGGTGCTAATTAAGACGTTTTCTTTCGGTGTGCTGAGTGTCCCAGCGCAACCTAAATGCATCAAAAAGTGAAAACCCGAAGAGCGGCAAGAGCGGGAGGATGCCGTGTAATGTGCCATATGTATCCATATGTTCATTTCTACGTGTTTTTTGCGTATGCAAGTGTAAGTATCCCAGTGTAAGAGTGAAAGCATCCAAGTGCAAGTATGCAAGTGCAAGTATCCCAGTGCAAGTATGCAGGTTTAAGTAAGTATCCCAGTGCAAGTATGCAAGTGTGAGTATGAAAACTTTCACAGCAAATAGCCTAATGAAAAACATTACCCCACTTTATAAATTCTCTTTAAAGGCGGAGGGTGGGGCGAACAGCGTCAACCGAAAATGCAACCCTCTGCGGAGATCGCGCGTGTCGAGTGCGCGAAATGCAGGCGAGAGTGCGATTTGTCCGCGGGGCGCGCAACCCTTTGCGGAGATCGTGCGGGTCCAGGGCGCGAAACGCAGGCGAGAGTGCGATTTGCCCCATGCGCGCGCAGCGCGAAAAGCAGGCGAGAGGGCGACTTGTTCCATGCGCGCGCGTAGCTGGCGAGCTGGAAGATGAGAACTGGCGACTGGCTAGTACAACTTGAGTACGCGGAGTATCTGGGGAGCTGGAAGATGAGAACTAGTGACTTGGTAGTATAACTGTAGTACGTGGAAAGACATACAGAAACATCATCATTTGCACCCACACCATAGAAAGACATACAGACAGGGACTCATACACACACAGACATAGATACACTTCGAACTTGGGTTTTCAGT